CTTTAAAATATTTTGTTTTAAAATAATAAAATAAAAATAATTAAATTAATTTTGTAATATAAATTTGCGAGAGGCAAGGAATCCCTACAGCACCCATTTCTAGTGAGTGTCCGCCGGTGGGAATGGAAAGGCACCCTCTAGCCTTGCATGGCACATTTGCATGGGAAGGGCTCGAACACAAGCCTGGTGCCCATCCACCATTGTTAAAGGAAGCACCGATAGCTCTATCCAGTGGTTGGGGATGGACCTGATATTGTGAAACTGCTAAAGACGTATTTCTTTTATTATTATTGGGGTTTTCTTTGTTTTTCCCCCTTTTTTTTTTTTTTTGTTGATCTAGTATTTACAATTAATAAGACCCTTATGGGTTCTGAAAATCTATGAAGAAAAAGACTTAATAAGTGAAAAATGTATTAAAGACTTTAGCAGTGAACCTAATGTCCATTTTGCTTAACATGATTTCTTATGCTTTATTACTTTTTTACTTTTTTTTAAAGAAAATAACAATTGACCATTGGATAAATAATTAAGCCTTATCTTGCTGATGGGTTGTCTAGTGTAGTTTGTAGCTGTAAATTTAATGCAAAGAACTGTTGACACATTGAGACATAATTTAAGATTGGAATTTTGTATTACAATCCATAATTGTACTTTCTGTTGACACTAATGACAACAACAGGTCAAAAGAAGAACTATACGTCTTAAATATCATTTCTCCCAAAATTCCTGTCTTCATTGACACTCTAACTTCCCTTTTTTTCCAAATTCCCCCTTTTGCTTAGAGGCAGACGGAAGATATTCTAATTCCATTCTCCACTCTCTCTCTCTCCCATCCCACAAGATGCTACTTCCACTCTCTCTCGAATTATCTCTGAGTCAAACTCCTTAATAGCTTCTTGACAAGGAGATTTCATGAATTAATTCATAGATATCCCATCTCTCCTATAAAACATTTAGTCAAATAAAGTCTCATATCAATTTAGAGTTAAATAAAGATTAATTTCTTATTTCAAAATACAACTCAAATTCAGATATCAGTATTTAATATCATAAAAAAAACTACTTCTTTGTTAATTTTAATTTATATATTTTAATTAAAACCTTTCCTTAGAAAGAAATTCTCATTTTGTTAAGTAAAAGAACAGAGCTAGCAGAAGGAGAGCTTAAAGAAGAAACTTTATGGTTAAGATAAGCATGCAGCGCATCCAAAAAAAAAAAAAAAACAAAAAAACAAAATGCTGTCTACACCTATCATGCAATCATCGATCAATAATTTCTTGAGTTTGATGCTAAAGTTATAACGAATCTATCCTAAATGAATAATTAAGTAGAATTTAGTGGAACAATCAGTTTCTGATCTTCTACAACATCAATCACTCAGCAAAGATGATAATTCTCATATTAGCTTGAGAGAAACCTTACGATCCGTAAGTAACAATTCTTGCACTTTCCACAAAACTCAACAGAATATTTTCATAATAATGCGAACACAAAGTTAACTCCTTTTCTGCCTTCTTTATCATCTATATTCCAAGTTGAACGAGAACTTTGAATTCTGATGATTTTTTTTTCCGGGATTTCTTTGATGACAACGAATAGAAGATGTATGTTTTGTTATATAATTGGATCAAAGAATAGAATCTTAATGTTTCTTATCTTTGTCTTGAAACTTTCTTCATTATATTCCAAGTATCTAACCCTTCTCATACCGCACTACATTATCTACTTTTTGTATGTCGATTACATTTATTCCATGCATTTTATTATGGTATTAAAATGTAAGTACATACTTAAAGTTTAGGTAAGACTAAGTGATGGGACCCATTTCAGTATCAATCGTAATTAGGACATACCACATTCATACAATTTAACTAAATTTTAATCATTTAGAACTTTTTAAAAACAAAAATTATGTTTACTACTTCAATGATTCAATCTCTTTCTCATTTCATTTTAACTTTATAATAGCAATTACACAAGATTTCTTTAATTATTTCCATTTTTTTTTTATCTTCATTGCTTTATTTCTTTGAGGTTTAGTCATTCATTTTCCATTAATTGTTAAGCTTTCCATCATTTTTCCTTTTTAGTCCCAAGTTTTAGAATAGACCTAAGGGCATACTAAGCATTCTTTTTGTTATAGCCTCATATTGTGCACGATAGATAAACATTTTTCATATTTTTAATTTAAATTAAGTAAAGCACAAAGACATTCAATGAATGTTCTAGCTAGCTAGCCTTTCTCTTTTGAATAAACATAAATCATGTTACCAATCCAGCTCTTTCTTTACCATGTATCATGTATGGCTAGAAATGAAAAGAGAAGGAATGGTGGTCCTTGATGAGGCTTTTGATAGGGCAAGTAAGTAGTAAAAGCGTTGGATATATAGGCTATTTGCAAGATACACTTTTGGCCCATCAAAGCCATGTGATATTGCAATCTATATCATTCACATCAAAAGAATGCAAAATTTTAGACTTTTTTCTTTTTCTTTTTTTTTTTTTGTTATTTTTATTAACACAGTTTTAGCTTTTTCCAATTTATATATTAATCAACTCCTCAGTGAAATGTTTTTCTATCTCATCATCTTCTTACTCATGACATTTTCTTTACAAAAAAAGTATTTTACAGAACAAATTTTGCATTGAAAATGTAGTTTATCCTATAAATTTATTAAAATATCTTTAATTAAATAATATAAAAAATAATTTTATTAAGAGTATTTTAATAAATTTATAAGGCATATTACACTTTTAATATACAACCTAGACAATATTACATGAATTCCTTTTCCTTAAAATTTCATCTAATAAAAGATAGAAGGATAAACGAATGATTACACTAGGTAATAATTAAGCTAAGAATTAATGGCAAAAAATATTAGAGAAGAAAAATACGGTCCACAAATTAATCTTCTCCTTTTTAATTTTGATATTTAAGCAATTTTTATACCCCATGCATTTCGATTTTTGTACTTATTTTATTTAAGCTTTGTTTGAGCCTGCTCTTCTATATAGGTAGCTTTTTTTGTTTCTTATTATTTAAAAAATATATAAAATATTAATTAAAATTATAAAAAATATATAAACTTATAATTAAATTAGAGAATAGTATATGTCAGTTTTGATATCATAGAGTCCCAATTCAAAAACATCATCATCTGATGAATATTTTGAAAAAATAATTATTGAATTTAATAGTCTATTTATATAGATAATACATGTCAATTTTTAGTTTCTTAATGAAAAAATTATAATTATTATAACTTAAAAGTTAGTATGTAAAATCTACATAAACTGATCATTTAATCAAACAGTTAGTTTTTCCAAATATTTTTTGAAAAATTATATTTTTGAATTAGGACTCTTGACATACACTATTTTTATTAATTTACTTAATCATAATAAAAATACATTTTTAGATAATGTGGTATGTGAAAATGTATTTTGTACGGTCCTCCCAAATAACACCTTAATTTTATAATTGCAAGACATTTCTAGAGGACCACGGTCTTACTTAGAATTAATTAGTCCAATTATGAATAGGCCCTCCGAGCTCTAATACTTCGTACTCAAGTTTTAATATTCGGGTAGAATTGGTTTATAATTCGAATTTCACCGATTACTTATATATTTGTACTTGATCTATGGCCATTGATGTATTTCCATCACATAGGTTGGCCCATTTCTCCTATCCCCTATAACTGTCCTTGTTCAGAAAAAAAAAAAAGAAGGACGGTCCAATTATGAATGATCTAAAATAACCTTTAATGATCATGAGATTGCGAGAAAGATTAGGAATGTTTAGTCTTTCTATATCTTGTCTAGACGCTAAAATTAACTCATGGAGATAGTTTTCTAAAATAGAAATATTCTTTTTTTTTTTTCATTATGAGTTGCTACAATTTAGGTATTAAAATTATCAAAATATATTTTTAAAAATTTATTTAATAATGATATTTTAAAATTTTAATACTACAAACACTTATTTCTTATGTTTAAAGAGAGTGATTCAATTAATTAAGAATTTTAAATTTTAAATTCAAAACTTAATTCAAATGTAAAGAAGTTAAAAAAAAAATTTCTTTCTCATACAACTCGATACTTAAATTTAAAAAAACCGGTCAACCGGGCCTGTGGTCCAATTGGTTGGCCCCTAAACTTTAGGGTTTGGATGAGGCGGAGGTCAGGATTTCGAACTCTGCCATCGCCGTGAACTCCACTAACTTGCGACCTAATGGTCACGCGTCTCAAATGAGGGAGTGGAACGTTCACTTTCCTGGAAAAACTCCAGCTGCTAACAAACTAACTCTACTAACTTCGTAACCATCTACCTGGTAAAAAAAAAAAAAATTAAAAAAACCGGCCTGTTGCAAAAATCATTATATAAAATAATAAAAGGAAAATGATAAAGGGCGGGAATATTCGGGCCCAAAGTTGAGCCCAGACAAAAAGGATATTCAGGAAGGAGAGAAGGAACATTATGAAGACACGTGTCACCAGGAGAATCTCTCTCTTTTTTTTTTTTTTTGTCCTCCCATGGAATCTGCACAAAAGGTGTGGGTTGGAAGCTTGTACCCGAAGACTGATTTCAGACACAGACCACCAACCAACCCACCCTAAACGTATTTATTATTTTCATTTCCTAATAAAAATAAATAAAATTCATAAAACTATTGGCTCAAAAGAAAAGCCGAAGGGAATTCGATGCACTCTTCTTCCCCCTTTAGTCGCCTTTTACTTTCATGCAAAAGGCTTTTCACACATTTATCCCCCTCTTCACTTTTCTTTTCCCCCTACTTTCGAGTCGGATTTTATGACCATTCTACCTAGGTTATGTTTGATTACGAGTAATAATCATTTCTTGACGGGTTTAAATCTTGATTAGTGTCTTTATTTACATCCTAACCTTGTATTTTATATTAATGAAAAACAATTTAATTAATTATATTCGAAATCCGGATCGGGATTTCTAAGGATGTTCAAAACCTTAGAAAGAAAAAAAGGAAAAGAATGTTGGTTTTGCAATAAAAAATTAAGAGAGAATCTTCTTATCTTCCTAGCCACTTCATTAAAGGTTAAGTAGCAGAAGAAGATTCCCTGAGTGTTAGGGTCCTTTATCATTCTTTTAGGGAGGGGGATTTTGGCTTTTAAGCTTTGTGGGTTGTGTATGTTCCCTTAATTTAGAGTCGTAGAATTGGAACTAAGATATTCCTTCCTTAGAGGCAAATATTTTATTCTTTTATGTATGTGATGAATGTTGCATTTTAGATTAGATATTCTCTCTCTCTCTCTCTCTTTCTCTCTCTATGCGGCATTGCACTCAATTTTAGGGCAATTATGCTACTTTTGAAACCGAAAAGAAAGTTGCAATATGGATGGATTGATACTAAACACCATATGAATATGTGTCCTCTCTCTCTCTCTCTTTAAAAATATGGCTTAGTTTAAGAGTATATATTGTGTTGTATTGGTCTGTAATGTGGTTATAAAGTTTTTTAATTTTTAATTTTAAAATAGAAAATATTAATTAAAATTATTAAAAATATATAAAATTTTAATCGAAATTAATTATTTATAATAAAATTATATTTTTAAATAAGGTGCTTTTGGAAAGTGTTGTCTGTAGCCTATGTGTGATGCATGGTAAAAGAAATCAAAATGAACAGAAATAATGGTATCCCTTTTTGAGTCTTTTTCTATTATTTAATCAATCATGGTAGAATCATTTAATTCATTTTAATCTTAATGAAAAGGATATAATTACGTCGATCGATACCTTCAAATAATATATTTTCAAATAAAGAAGAAAATAATAAGATTGGACGTTAAGAAAGAAAAATAAAAATATACATGATTTGCCCAACCATTGTTTTTAGTACATGAGATATAAGTTATACAATTGAAAATAGTTCTTCTATTCCTTTAATTTCTTTTTATGCACCTTAAAATTTGATTTTAGGATCTTAAACTTAGAATTTTAAGTTTTTATTTAACCTACTTAAAACCTCCTTGGAGCATATAGCCAACCATTATTGTTGGAGATTCAGCTTTACAAAATATAAAAATAAGTCCAAAGAGCTAGATTTAAAAAAAATAAATAAATTATTGCAATTAGATTGTATCTACGTTATAGCATTCAAGTGTTAGTTTGGAAAACCAGTAGATCTACAGCAAGTAAACAGCAAGTAATTCACACTAGCACTACAAAATTTATATGACGAATTACATCTACATGATATATTCCTTGACTTGAGATTGAGGTTAAATATTATATATATAATAGTGCCTGTTGTAATAAAAAATAATAATGATGAAGAAACAATGAGGTTATGGATTCCTAATTACATTATAGTATGATATTAATTTGATTGATCATTCCTAATTTTGTTTTTATTCTATCAATCCCTATACAATTAATTGTTTTAATATAGAATTTCGAACAAATCTTAGAGAATTATACACGATTCGAATACAAGATCTCTATTTTATGAAGTAAAGTAAGCATTGTTAAGGAAGTTTTTGGGTTTAAAGCAGGGAGAAAGAATCACGGGTCTCGAGAATGCTATAACATTGGCATATATATATACGAAAAGGTAAACCCTAAAATAAGAAAGAACACAGAAATAAGAAGAATCATCTTTTGTGTTAGTGAATTTGAATTTCGTACAAAGACTAGTATAGACTCACCAAAAACCAGGCTCTAAGCACATGACCCCTAGCCTCCGCTGTCAGAATTCAGAAACTCCCTTTTGATTCTTTCTCCTCTCTCATTTTTTAGCTTTTTCTACCTTTGTTCTCTGCAAGAAGTTACCATCTCTGTTTCCTTTTTCTTTTCTCCTCTCTTTAATTCCCCTCCAAACCCCACTTTATTCCCTTGAACTCTCCCTAAAAAGAAGACGATCCTCCTTGTGTTCCCAAACATCTCCTCCCTTTTCCACTACTCTCCTCTCAATTTCTTAAAACTCAAACCTAGCTAGACACCATAGCACCTTTTGTTTTAGCATGAACATTGTTGATTCGAAGAACGGATAAATCTTTTGAGAATCAGTTTTCTTGATTACGTCTTGTTGTTCATACAACATTAATTAGTCATGGCTTCGCCTTCGGAACTAACCTTAGATTGCAAGCCATACAGCTATTCCATGCTGTTGAAATCCTTTGGTGATCATCAACAGACGGATCAAACACAGAAACTTGAAGAATTCCTCATTCATCTCGAAGAAGAACGCCTTAAGATTGATGCTTTCAAGCGTGAACTTCCCCTCTGCATGCAACTTCTCACCAATGGTACATCAAAATTTTGTTCATTGCATTTCTGAAATGTTCCAACTTTTCTACCTACTCTATTGATTTTTAGAAATTAGAGATGGCTTTTTTTTTTTTTTCCCCATGTTTGTTTGTCGTCCAATCTCTCTTTTGAATCCAAAGCAACCAAATATTCTACATTTTTCTAAAGAACTAAAGCCAATCTTTGGAAAAAGGATTCAAAATTCATTACTTTTTTTTTTTTATTGTTTTTCAGCGGTTGAGGCTTCACGACAGCAATTACAGGCTTACAGAGCAAATCAAGGACCAAGACCAATTCTTGAAGAATTCATACCTCTCAAGAATCCAAGCTCGGAAAATTCAGAAAAATCATCCCAGGCACTTTCCGATAAGGCAAATTGGATGACAAGTGCACAGCTATGGAGTCCAGCAGGCAATGAAACCAAACCACAACCGGTCACGACATCTCCAAAAGAAACTGATATTGGATTATTGAGTGTGAGTCCCAAACTGGCCCTGGATACCAAGCAGAGAAATGGAGGAGCTTTCCTTCCATTCTCCAAAGAACGGAACCCCTGTCCTGCCCCATCTTTACGGGGTCTTCCCGAGCTAGCACTTGCTTCAACAGATAAAGAAACGGAAGACAAAGAAAAGAAGTGCTCCGACAATGAACAAGACGGCCGGAGAGAGAATTCCAGTAAAGTTACCAATGGCCATATTGAAGGAAAAGGAACTGGGAATAATAACCAAACAGATGCCCAAGCAACAAACACAAACACTACAACAACCACTCAGCCACATAGGAAAGCAAGGCGGTGCTGGTCCCCGGACTTGCACCGGCGATTTGTTAGTGCTCTCCAGATGCTCGGTGGTTCCCAAGGTAAACTAATAAGAAAAAAAAAAACAAGCATAAGTACATACAACTGTATCATGAATTCTTGTAAACTGCTCCGTCCACCAGTATTTAGCAAATTCTTTCACACAAATTGATCTCAAATCTCTGATACTAAATTTTTTTTCTTACAATTGTTACAGTGGCAACCCCAAAACAGATTAGGGAGCTGATGAAGGTTGACGGTTTGACCAATGATGAAGTGAAAAGCCATTTGCAGGTATTTTCGTTGTCTTTTTTAACGCCGGAGAGAAGAAAGAAAGACCCTGTACCATATTCAAACCTGACAAAATAGTACTTTGGACAGTACTTCCTACAGATTTTTTGATGGTTCTTTTTGTGTGAAATTTGGACAGAAATATAGGCTTCACACAAGGCGGCCCAGCCCGAGCCCACAAGCAACCGGAGGCCAGGCGCCGCAGCTTGTTGTCTTAGGGTTAGGGTTAGGAGGCATCTGGGTCCCACCCGAGTATGCCACTGCAGCGGCAGCTGCACACACGGGGGCGCCTGCTCTATACGGGGCACACCATCCGGCAGCCACCCATGCAGCCACTCATTTCTGTGCATCGCCCGTGGCTCAAGACTTTTATACTGCTGCTGCCGCCGCCGCGGCAGTCACGACTCCACCACCTGTGCAGACACCCCAGTTGCACCATCACCACCCTCTCCACCACCAGCTTCACATGTATAAGGCGGCCCACGGTTCGCCTGAATCTGACATCAGGGGAGCGGTTGACAGGTCCGAGAGCATTGAAGATGGAAAGTCGGAGAGTAGCAGTTGGAAGGGTGAGAGCGGGGAGAACGGTGGTGGTGGAGAGAGAAAAGGGTTGGCGGCGTTGCGGGAAGACGGCGAGGAGAGCAACGGTAGCGAAATCACGCTCAAGTTCTAGTTAGGATTAGAGTTTAGGGTATTGTATATGTTAAAGATTATTCTAGATATGTTGAAATGTCGGAAAAAATTAATATGAAATATTTAAAGAGGGCAAAAAGGGCATAACGAAAAAGCTAGTGTTTGCTTTGTTCCACTTCTCTGGTTAGCAATGTCTTATTCGGAAAATTTGAAATTTGGATTATTTGTTTTTGGCGTTTTCTGGTGCTTCACAAAGACAGATTTGCCCCTCCTTTTTGGTAAAATTTCTGCTGTTACTGGCTTATTATTATTATTACTTTTGAGTATAATGCTTGCTCGATGAGTGTCCGAAACTGTTGAAGGAGAAAGTATATCTGTTATCCAATAATTTAAATTTTATAGTTTATTAATTTATTTTTTATTATTGAATATGAAAACTCACAATGTTTTTTGAGGTTAAATGTGTAAATTATTTCTTAAAATTATTATATTAAAATAAATCATTACTCAAAAAAATATTGATATAATTTGTCACTTTAAATATCTAGTTTCAAGAAATCAACCCAAGTTTAACCATTGTGGTTAAATTTTGTTAAAATACTATTTTTGAAATTTAATAAAAAGTTAATAGTAATTGTTAAATTGAAGCCATTTTTTTTAAAATAAAAATTTTAAGTGACAAATTACAAATTACGTCAATATTTTTTTTAAAACTCAACAATTTTAGAGGAGGAATAAGCATTTTTTGCCCTTTTTTTTTATGTCAAGGCATTACTTAGCCATAAGATAAGTGAAATATAATATATTTTTTGGCATGTTATATAATGAGTAATATAATAAAAGATAGTCTTCTTCTTTCCAAACTCCTCTCTCCTCCCATTTTAGAATTTGAACTTGAAATCTCTAATATAGAAATTCAAACTCTTAACTATTGAGTTATCTTGTAAAAACCATAAGATATAATATATGTTTAACCTAAGTTTAATCTATTATCTAATTAGTTGAGACTAAATATCTTGATATTTTTAATGTTCAAATGTTGCAATTTTCACTTTCATGTTATTATTATTGGTGTTGGATTTGTGTGAAAGAGGATTATGCAACATATACGTTTGAAATTTTTTTTTTGTAATATTTTAATTTTAATTCATTTATACATAAAAAGTTTTTTTCAAACTTATTTTAAAACAACTTTTAAAATTAATTTTTGAATTTCCATCCTCCAACATTTTAAATTTTAAGATAAAAATTTACTTTTAGAACAAATGCCTTTTAAATTTTGCTAACCACCCTCTAAGCAATATTCTACTTTAAACATTGAGGCAAGACCATTTTTAGTGCATATATATACTAGAGAGTCCAAATCTTTCTTGGCACGGATGGTTTATTATAGAGATTAAATTAAGTTATATTTAGTATAGTTGTAATTTTTAATTTTTAGTTTTAATTTTTATAAATTTTACAATTTTAATAAAAGAACTCACTCATTTTAATGTGTTTTTACAATATATTATCATGATTATTTAATAAATAATAACAAAACTAGTTTTAATATTATTAAACAAATTTATACTTTTTGTTATCAATGTTAAAACTTATTTTAAACAAATTGTTAATTTTTTATTTTTAGTTTTGATATTTAATAATTGTAAAATTTATGAAAACTAAAATTAAAAACTAACAAAAATTACAACCATGCTAAACATATCCTTAATAGATGATAAATTTATAAACTTATTTATCCATACATATTAATAGTAGCATTTGTTATCTAAATCTATAAGTATTTATTTAAAAAACAAAGGCATGTTTTTTTAACTTGAATCGTTTGCTTTAGTACATAAAAGAAAAAAAATTCATGTTTTCCTTTTTTAGACTTATTTTAAGCTGAAAAGTTTGGGGGTTTAAAAGTTAAAAAATCAAAAAAAAAAAAGAGAAAAGAAACATATCCAACTATGGTCTTAGATTGTGTTTGGTTGAAGCCTTTCCTAACAGAAGAATATGGAGAAGTCAAGCAAAAATTGCTATTGGCTTGACTCGAATTTTTTTTTTTTTAAACAAAAAAGAATCTTAGGTAAAAAGAGTATAGCCAGTTAGATAGAAGTACAATCGTTTATTTGTCTTGAAAACTCCTTTCAAAAAACACAAAAGAAGGGAATTAGAATATATAACTGGCAACCAAGGTTATCAATATTGTTTTGTGTTGGTTCTAAGTTTAATTCGAAATGGTATAAGGTTAAATTTTGTTTTGATCAAATACTAGTCATTTTAATCTAATTTTGGTGTTGTTTGGTACATTGAAATCTTATGGGATAAGGTTTTTTTTTTTCTTTTTTTATCTAATTTCTTAAAAAAGAAAAACAATATACCACTTACCAAACGAAGTTGTAAAAATATGTTTGCCTTTTAAAAAAATACAATTATCAATGTACTATCTTTTTATCAACAAAATATCTCTATTTATTTTTTGGTATATCTAATAATGATAGATTATAAAAGAAGG